CCCTGGCATCAAGTCCAATATGAGAAGGACAACTTTCCAGCTTCTGCAGAGAAAGTACCAGAACTAAAACAACCTGAATGTCTGTGAATACGCCAGAAACCCCTAGGCCTTTTACATGTGTTATCTTCCTAGACAGGTAATGTTTTAGACATAAGCAGACTGAGGCTTGGAGAAGGTGATTTTCCTAATTACCACTGGCAAGAATTAAAACAGGCCAGGTGTGGTGGCACACCCCTGTAATCCCAGTGGCTCTAGAGGCTGAGGCAGGAGGATCATGAGTTCAAAGCCAGCTTCAGCAACTAAGCAAGACTCTAAGCAACTCAGAGAAAGCCTGTCTCTAAATAAAATATTTTTAAAAGGGCGGGGGATGTGGGTCAGTAGTTAAGAGCTCCTAGGTTGAATCCCCAGTACAAAAAAAGAAAGAAAGAAAGAAAGAAAGAAAGAAAAGAAAAGAAAAGAAAAAAAGAAAGAAAATAGGAACCCAATTCTTAATTAGTCAAAAATGGAAACTCCAAGCCCCAAGTATTAAATATAATTTTTATTTCATCCAAGGCAAAGCTAAATACAATTCTATAATGCAAAACATGTTGTAGAGGCAAGACAGTCTGATCACGTCCATTCTGTGCTTGAACACGAGTTAGTGCAGGGTGTGTGCACATCTGTGCCTCCCAGAGGCACCCTTGGACCCTGGGGCTCCTAAGGCCCGCCACTGCATCGTTTGATCTATAAAGTTATATAGGAAATTTACTATGGGTATTGTCATCCAAGCCAGAGGAATAAACCATGCATAAGATAGTCGAAAGCACTGCATATCAGGTGAGAGGTGGGAGGGTAGGGACTCCAACCTGGGACAAAGTAAAGTGCAGCAAGCCATAGGATTTTCCCCAGAAGTCCCCACTCTTGGCACTCCCTCCCCACAGCCCTCTGATGGCAGCTGTAACAGAGATGGAGTCACAGAGAGATGAGATCCAGGAGCATGGCTGGCCTTTCCCTCCATGTCTTATTCTTTCTCAACCTCCAGCTCTGGCCAGGAAAATGGCTCCTGAAATCTTCAGTGACTCCCCCATCACACACCACCCCTTTCATGCATAGCTGCCCCCTTTAAAGGTCCCACTTTCGCACCTGCATTGCCTGCACAGGCAGGTTTGCATGAGTGTGCATCACTACACATGAGTACCCCCCCGACCCCGCACCGTCTCCCGAGCACACCCTCAAAGCCTGGGCTCCATAAGAGCTGGCCAGCCAGATGTGTGCAAAGCTGAACCTCATCAGCCCCTCTCCCAGGTATCTTTAGCATCACAAGTTCATTCTGACTGCCTTCTGTTTAATCCTAACATGTGGGAAACCCAAGGCATCCACTGCACACATCCTAATCTGAGGTCAAGGATGAGGAGTTCTGAACTTTGTCTTTGGTCTCACGGACATCACTGGCAGTGCCCAGGGTCCTCAAGAGCAACTTTGCAAACGGATCTCTCGAGCCCACAAGCCCTGGGAACACCCTCACCAGCCCTGACCCACCATTGGAGACCTGCATGTACCTAGGATCCACTTGTGCCCGTAGGCACCCTATTGCAAATCCATTCAGATGCTTCTCGAGGGGCATAATGCTGTGATTGAAACAGGACATTCTTTGTTGTGGAGACTAAATTAAACACTCTTAGACCCCACTCACTAAAACCAGTAGTGACCCAGGCATTGGGATAGCGAGAAATATGCCCCTTACGGTCCCAATCATCTCTATTGGAAACCACCAAACAAGAGCCATGGACAAGAAGCTTCAGGCCTCAGTCAGAGTCAAGGTTTCTAACATTACAAAGACTAAAGAATTCCAAAGGGGAGGAGTGGAAAGAGTGTGTGTGTGTGTTGTAGGGATGGGACACAGAGATGAGGACATGACAGACTTGGAACAATCCCTCCAATTATAAAACTGCTTCCCAAATCCCTTTCCAAGCTAAAAAGATTTTTAAAACAAAACTTGCCAAGTCCCACGACAGTCCTGTGAGGTAGGTAAGTAGTATTACACCCACTGGATAGATGGAAAAGCTGAGCCCAGAGAAGCTGCGAGGCCTGCCTATAATTCAGCAGAAGACCTAGAAGAGGGGAGAGGAGGTTGCCCTAACTCTTCCACTGCCCTATGCCTGGGATTCCTCTCAAGAAAGCAAGAGGCACCCCAGGCACTCTCTTCAAATGTTGACACTGGGAAGGGAGAAGAAAGCAGTGGTTTTTGCATGAAGGCAGCTGGAAGAAATTTTCTAAGTATCTGGGGGCTCTGATCTGTCTATTCCCAAAGCCAAGAAATCTGACCCCTGGTCCTTGAAGAAGGAAAGGAGGGGAGGGGGCAGTTCAGAGTGGGGATCTGCAAACCCATCAGGTTGGGCAAGGGACACTAGCCCCAGCCATGGGCATCCTGCAGGTACTGCTGCTCCTCAAATTCCTCCCAAGTTCCACCCTCAGGGATGCTGGTAATTGCCTCTGGGCAGGAGAGTCCTGAGGCCACCCCCATGTCCTTTGGAAAGAAGATCTACTTCTCTCCACCCCTCCTATGGGCCCAGAAGACAGAGTGTCAGCCCAAAAGGGAGAGAGGGGCTGGGACCCCACACAATCATGAGGCCCCATCATGACATCTTGCCATCAGGGTCCTGGATGGGAGCATCTGGCAGGTGTCTCCAAGACTCAGTCACTGATGTCAATGACACAACTCCAGCTTCATGGCCTCCTCATTGATACTGGGAAGGAGAGGGTGGGGACCACACCAGAATGCGCAGTTCAGGGGAGGGCATAGGAGCCCCGACTCCAGGAGCTAAGGCACAGTCTAGCCCACCCTCAAGGGGTATGCAAACCAGTTCTCCCAAAAGCAGAGGAAGAGTGTGGGCACCCTCTCCCTGCTCCTCCCCAGCCCCAGGGTGGGACTGGGGTGGCCCAGCTGAGCAAAAAGCACCTGGAAAACTCCAGGGCTCTCTCACCCAAAGAAGAGAATCCCTGAGGCAAGGCAAACCAAAGGCTGGGGATGAGCAACCCTGGGGACGGGGGACAAAGGTGTGATGGGGGGTGCCCAGGAAGAGCAAGCCAATGAGATGGAGGTTCAAGGGGACAACTCCCTCAAGCAAGATGACATCACCTGCTGTTTCAAGGGAAGGGTCGGAGCAGCGGGGAGCTGGGGTCAGGAGTGCTCAGGGTGGCCATGGTCCTGCCATGCCAAGGTCAAGGGCTGCCAGCATGTGGGGCTGGAGTGGGCGTGGCAATGGCCGAGAGGCCTAGGACATTGGCTTGCCCACCTCTGCAGCCCGATTCCCCCAGGGAAATGCTAGAAAAAATGTAGGTTAGCACTCTAGTGCTCCAGAAAGGCTGGAGGGGCCTCTCCAAGACCACACAGAGAGCAGAGGGACAGGCTAGGTGGGCTGGGACCCCTCAAGACCAAGATGGCCAACTCTCACTCAGAGGACTTAGAAACTCGGAGCTAGGGACAGGACAGGGAGAAAAGGACAAGGCAGCCAGGCACTCCAAGGTGGGGGGAAGGGGACCTCCCAATTTCAGGGTCTGTGAGAGACCAGTTATCCCACCAATCAAGTTGGCCTCACATTGTGGCCCCACCTCCAGTAGCACCCCCACCCCAAGGCCTTCTCCAGAGTCCTTTAGCCCCCTCCCACCCAAAAGGGTTTGTTCCCCACACAAGGCTCCAAGGTCCAGCTTTTGGGGCAGGCTCACTGATCCCCCAAGTCCCTCTTGAGGATAAATCAGAAGGAAAATCAAGGTCCTGCTCACTCAGTGGGGGGAGCCAGAAAGAGCCCCCGTCTTCCCAGGTGTCGGGGGACCAGCCCCGCCTTTCCCTTTCCTGAACTTTCCACAGGCCCCCTTCCCTGGCCAGTCCTTGTCCCTGGGAAGCCCTGGCTGGGGAGGGTGTGGGGCAGGCTGGGCAGGACACTGGTTTCTCCCTGCCCGGGAGGACTACAGTTTGAGCCAAGCAGCAGATGTCTCAGGCACGTGGGTTCTACGGACGGACGGACGGACGGACGGGCTCAAGCATCAGTGTCAGGATCAGAAAGCCAGGCCCCCTGCAGCTGCTTGGCCTGAAGCAGGGCCTCAGACTTTTGTGGGTGGTTTCTCTTCTGCCTTGGAGCCAGGCAACCCGTTCTCCGTGTTGTCATTCCCAGAGGAACTCACAAGACACTCCTTCCTGGGGAGGGAGAGAGAGGTGCACTGGTGAGCAGAACAGGGGATGAACTGGGCGGGAGCCATGGTCTCTGACCTTCTAAGAGCTAAGGTAACCAGAGGCCAAGTCACCTGCCTCTCACGCCTGGGTTTCCTCGTCTATAAAATAGATGGAACCCTGACACCTTCTTCATGAGATGCTGTGAGGAGTAAGCACATCTAAAAGGGGAAATGGACTCAGCAAGGCCCCGCCACCACCACCTCCTTGTCTCAACATGGCCACAAGGGTCACCAGGGTCAGATTCAGGCTGTTCCACCCCAGGGGGAGGGTCCAGGCCAGCAAGGAATATTCTGAGGACGGAGAGCTCTTTCCCTCAGTCCCACCAGGCCCTTCTCCCTGAGCTCTGTCAACAAAGGCAGGGGCACAGCAGCCGTGGGTGTGGCCTCAAGGATGGCAGGTGGGGCAGAGGGTGGTGGGACAGGGCAGAAGGCAGAGAAAGGAGACGTGGTCAGCTAGGAAGACACCTCGAGGGCGGGACCCTCGCCCCTGGCCGCCCTAAGCTGAATGGGTTCTGATATCAGTTTACCCCTTGTCCACGGCAGAGTCCTGGAGGATGGGAAGAGTTCATGCAAAGTTTCTCCTGGACTTTTACTGTAATGTCCCTTTCCTTGCCTATTCTCAGGGCCCCAGCCTCTCCCCACTCAGTCCCTCTGTCCCATGGCCAGACCCTTTGATCTTGAGGAGTGGGCCTTGGGGGCCTGCAAGCCCTCACCAGTTCTCCAGTGGCAGTCAGAGGGAAGCCACTTGCAGCCAGACTCCCAGGCCCCCAAGATCTGACTTCAAGCCCTTCACAGACTCTTCTCCTTTCTTTTCCTCAAAACCTCACTAGGACAGAAAAGGCCTTGCTCCCCAGACACGCGCCCACTACCAGGCTCTGCCTTTGCTCTCAATGCTTCCTCCACCTGGGCCATCTTCCCCTCACTGTCCCAGGGTTGAAATTATACCACCAACAACACCCATATATCACGCCTCTTCCAAACTCTGCAACAACACCTTATCACACCTGTTTTTGCTGGGATCCATCCCCTCTGTGCCTGGTATTACATTTACTTGTGCATACATCTTGTCTCTTTCACCAAAGGACAGGATCGTTCCTTCCAGAATGTCTTACAGCACCTAGCACGGTGCCTTGCACACGGTACCTCAAAAATAGCCACCAAGTGAAAGAATGAATGAATCAACTCTGAAGATACTCAATGAGCAAGAAGGACATGGTGGCAACAACTTTAGGGTTGAGGCCAAATGTGTCAGAGTTCAAATCTCTTTCACTTACTAGCTGTGTAGCCTTAGTCATGTCACTTAACTACTCTGAACCTCACTTTGTTCTACTATAAAACAAAAGTGATGGGTACTCTATAAAATGCCTGGTGGAGCACTTAAAGTGTGGTAGACATTTGATGAATGATAGAATGAATTATAATCTGTAGCAATCTCCTGGTGCACCAGTGTCCTAGCAAGAAAACTCTTAGCATGTATTTATGTACAGAACGATCCAGTGTTTTCCATTAATACAGACTGGGAGGATGGGGAAGAGCCCCGAGAGGGGGATGAGAGTTGCAGGGATAGCAAAGATGGTGGTGGGACTCAGAAGGGAGGGTGGAATGAAGAGATGGAAGGAAGGCTGCCGCTGCCAGGGGCAAATGAAAGCGGAATCAAAGGAGCAGGAGATGGGGGACGGGGTGGAGTCGGGGGCCCAGAGCCTGCCAGGGAGGTCAACTCACTTTTTCTCCCGGGTCTTCTTGAGGACAAAAGTGATGAACTTCTTTAGCAGCAAGATGAAGATGAGGAGTCCAATGACTCCACCCACCACGGCCAGGATGATGAGCGTCACTGTGTTGTCCACTTCTTCCACTGTGTGGCCAGAGCAGAGAGGGGAGGGCGGGGAGGGGGAGGAGGAGTCACCTAGAGCCAGCACCATGGAGGGCCAGGGCCAGCACCACCCACCACAGGCCACCGACCCTCTCCAGGCCTACTGCAGGACAGAGGAGAAGCTGGAACATCCATCCGACTAAGGAACAATAGCACCCTGTCCCCTCACCCTCCTCATGCACACCCTCCCCAAAACTCACACACACGTTTGGGATGAATCAGAATTTGAGGTGTGAGCCACAACTTGACCCCCAAATTGTCATGTGAGGATTTTCTTGCCTCCTTCAGACTTTGGCCAGCGAGGCCTTCCTCGGCCACTCGGCCACCCTGCAAACCCCCCACCTGCCCTGCTGCTTTATCTTTCTCTGCAGCACCAACACCACGGATCTCTCTTTTTAAGTCACTCCTCCGCTGGCAGGAGGGGAAGGGAATTTCCCAAGGAGCAGGAACGTGCCCATCTTCTCCCGCTGGGCCCTAAGCATCTAGAACATCATCTGCCACATGGTGGGTGCTCAGTACACACCTATGAATGGATGAATGACTCAAAAGGGAGACCTTAAGGGACTTTGTGAGGAGCAAAGAAGAGAAGGTAAGTGAGAGCCCTTAACTCAATGCCTGGCACCCAGAAAGCCCCCATAAATGTTGGTCCCCTTCTCCTCTCCTCTCTCCAAAAAGGCTGAGCACAAAGCAGAGTGACAGAAACCCAGACAGAGAGGAAGAGGTAACACTATCCCAGACCTCACTCAGATGACTCCAGGCTCCAAAAAGGCTCCCCAGATCGCCTCTGGCTGTGCCCTTGGTACTGCCAATATTGAACCCATGGTGAACCCCTCTCCAGGCACTCCATGTCCTCCAGGAGAGCAGGGGACCCCCAGGGACTCACAAAAGACAGTAGAATTGGAGCCCTGGAGTAGCTGCCCTTCCCCTGTGCTCAGCTCCTGAGGCTCCCTAGTTTTGCGGGCTCCTCCGCAGGGTGAGGCCCAGCCTCACTTCTCCTCTGCTGCTTATCACTCCCTGTTTCTCTAAACACCTCCAGCCTTAGGGACCTGTGACCACCTGGCTCCTTATCACATTCATCCTTACTGTCAAATTGGTCCACCCACCATCAGACTGCAATTCTCTGCTAGGAGCTAAGCTCCCAGAGGGCAGGGACCATGTCTTCCATCTCCATTATAGGTGCTGCCACGGATGTATATACGTCATCTGCCACATTCCAGTTATTCATTTTCTTATCCTCTGACTTACCCTGAACTGTACATGCCTCAAGAATACTGTGTATCATCCATAACATGTTTTAATACAATACCTGACCTTCAACCAATATTTGCTAACAGAATACACAATAGTCACAGTCATCAGCATTTACACAGAGAGCTTAACTAGCCATTCCTAGATAGTTCCTCCAGCCATCACAACAACCCTAGCAGAATGCAGCCATATTCCCATTTTACAGACCAGAAAAACAAGGTTCAAAGAGGCTTGATTTCACAAGCCACTCAGTAGCAGAAGTGTTTACACTCCCGGATGTAACTCAGACACAATTCCAGTAACTTTTTTTTTTTCCCCTGTACTGAGGATTGAATCCAGGGTCACTTTACCACTTAGCTACATCCCCAGTTTTTTCTATTTTTTATTTGAGACAGGGTCTCATTGGGTTTCTGAGGGTCTCAATAAGCTAGTGAAACTGACCTACAACTTCCAATGCTCTTGCCTCAGCCCCCCAAGTCCCTGTGCACCACCACACCAGGCGGCTCCAGTAACTCTTGAAAGTGTAAGGTCACAGAAAGCACCAGTGCAGGCCACCATGCCATTTCACTGTACCACTGAGACACCTCCAGCCCTTCCCACTCCACTGCTCTCATCCCAACCCCACTGCATACATTTATCAACAACTTGGAGGAAGATGGTGGCATGGTGCTGCAGGTCATTCTCCTTGGGGTTTTTCACATGACAGGTATATTTGCCCGTGTCGCTGAACTCCAGGCTACTCAGCAGAATGGAAATGTTGTTCATCTTCTCCTTAGTGGAGCCCTCCAGAGTGATGCGGTCATCACCTTTCAACTTCACCCTAGGGTCGGACTTCTCATTCTTCACAGTTCCATCTATGAGCTGGGTCACAAAAAAAAAAATCAGAGTGATCAAGGGTCATGACATCACTCCAGCCCCATCCTTGGGGGCCTTCCCTGTCCAGATCCAGAAAGAGCCTCCCATGAGAGGTGTTTCACCTTCCCATTTCCTCTGCCAGAGTCAACAGCTCTGCCTGTCAAACCTGAATTCTGCCTGTTTCAGGCCAAACCCAGTTCCTTTTATTAAGGTCTCCTTGGAATGCAGCATGTTCTTACTGCTCTCTTCATAAAAGCTTTTACATAATGACTCTGCAGATACCGCATGCATTTCCCTCTGCACTTCCCACCCTGTCTCTCTGACACTGAGTCCCTTGCTTCACTTAATTCTGCTCCTCCATCAAGACCCAGGTCAAGGCCACAGCTCTGTTCTTCAGCACCCTCTAAGGTCAGTGTTTAATTCCATTCAGAGGAAGACGTGTCACTTCCCTGGGTCAGCCTGAGGCCAGGTCCCCTGCCAGGCTGCACAGAACTCAGCCGGCTGATTCACCCCTCACCCCATGCCATTACTGTTCCTCCAGAGCCCCTGCTCCACCCCAGTTTCCTCGATCCTTCCCTTCCAAATCCAGCCACCCCTTCCTCGTGCGTTCTCTTCTCATTCCCTCTTTCCAAGGCTTCCAATGGTCTTTCGGTCTCCAGTTGTTTAAATTAAATTTTTACACAAGCAATTCATGTTATGGATATTTCATAAAACCAGACGGACAACTCTAGCCAAGAATTCTAACAGACCCAAAATTCTGGTCCCACCATCTAAGCATCCCTCCCACCCAGAGTCTGTCTGGAAGAAATCTGGGAAAAGGGGTAACAAAAGTTGGGCTCTGGGGACCATCATAGTGGGGCTCAGCCCAGAACAGACCACAGTCTGGGATGGGAAGTGAGCGATAGAGAAGGGAAGGAGAAACTGGACTGTCCTGACTGTCCCTACACCACTTACAAGCTTGAATACATCAGTGCTATTGTAGGTCCACCAGAAGCGGAGGTTCTCGAAGCCAAAGCAGCTGGAGAAGGTGCAGGGCAGCAGGATCTCCGTGCCATTGACAGCATAGATGGTAGTGGCCTTTCCCACAGACACCTCCAGCGACAAGGACATGGGGAGCAGGAAGAGACCTGTGTAAGGAGTACACCCTGCATTGGAAGCGGATCCTCAGGCTGGGCAGAGTGGCTTGGCCAGGAAGGGAGACCTCTGTCACCCTCCGTGTCAGCTTCACTAGAATGATTCTTTTTACTCCAATTGAAATGGCTCACGTAATGGGACTGAATTCTGGGCCCTTAGTACCTCTTGTGACACTCTAATTGACCACCAGGGGTCACCCCAACCCAAGAAAAGGAGGTTCGGCCGTTTTTGCCGGGGAATCCTCGCCCCCGCCCCGCCCCTCACTTAGAGACGCAGTCCCCGAAAGTGCCCAGGGAGCGCGGGCGGTGCGCCCTACTGCAAGCCTGGGAATTGCCCTAGGACGGTGCACCTCGTTGTGTTTGCGGAATCTGGGGGTGGGGGAGAGCGGGATAGGATAACAAGAAGAAGGAAAAAGCAGTCGCCGTTGTCCCCGCAACTGTCCTGCAGCCTCTCATCACCCAGTCCTGGAGACTCCTACTGGGCTCCGAGGATCTAAGAGAGACACCTTTGGACCGGACCTTGCTTGATCATCTGAGGCCAGCGCTTTCTGTCCATCGAACGAGATCCTAACAGAAGGATGATGGACCGAGCGGGACGGCAGGGCGCGCACATCTTGGAAATGGGCATCAGCGAGGGCGGAGCGAGTAGAGCAAAGATGGAGAGAAAAGTAAGAGGGCAGAGATGCTGTGGAGGCAGATTCCCGAGGCACTGAAATGCACGCCTGCAAGCCGGGTAGCCTCGGGTGACCTGCTGTTCCCTCCCCCTCCCGGGAAGCTGGGCCTCCCCGCCACACCCCGCCACACCCCGCAGCCACGCTCGGCCCCTCATCCCGGAACAGCCGCGATGACCCCAAAGTTCTGCACAATCCCTCCGCAGTCGCAGTGCGTCCAAACGCCCTCGGGAGGCGACTCCACTAGCGCCCGGGATCCCTCCTCCCGAATCCTTGTAAGGGTACCTGGCCCCCCCTCCCGCCCTGCACGTTTCTCTAGGAAACCCCCGCTCTCAAGGTCGTTGGGGAAAGGGGATCTGCAGCTGGACGCACAACTCTTCCTGCTCCTATGGCGGAACGAGTGTTTTCTCCCACCCTAACTCTCAGGAGGCCTTTAGGAATTAAGTTAGACAACTCCTGCCGCATCATACTTCAGTTTCCTCTTGTTTTGCCCACAGGAGAGCATGATGTTCTTGGTATTTTTGAACAATGCTTTCTAAATGACGGCGAAGGAGTTCCAAGGAGAGCTGGCAGCCTTGCTCCTGATCTCAAAGGTCCACTCATTTTCGTGTCCCTTTTGCTTCTGGCAACACAGTGGAGTCCTTGTACCCCACCAGTTCAGAAATTACACCCATGGCCCAGTAACCCATTCACGATCCCTGCCACTGTCAATAAAAGCAGTAATAGCTGATATTTATTGAGCATTTATTATGCGCCTGGCACTTTCCACCCTCACTCCTCTCCTTTGAATGGTATACACTATTATAGATCCATATTCAAAATGAAACAATTGAGGCTCCAAAAGTTGGGTAACTTATCTAAGGTCAAGGAGAGAGACACTGCCGCCATCCCATAGTTCCAAAGCAGGAAAATTCCTCCTTGCATCCTAAAATAGCCAGGTTTGCCCACCAGGACTCCAATTAGTGCTGGGATGTTATTTCAATTAACTGTCATTTTTTTTTTTTTTTTTTGGTCATCTCCTGTGTGCCAGGAATTGTTTCAGAACAGTAGTTTGCAAATTGAAAGGAATCAGAATCACCTGGAGAGCAGAAAGTCAGCAGGGCCCTGGAGCTACTGATTCTGTAAGTCTTCTGTGGTGCCAGACAGTTGGCATCTCTTCAGAGCACCCCAGGTAATGCCATGGGTGTGGACTACACTTTGAGAAGCACTGTGCTAGAGGACTTATACTGTATTAACCACAACTTTTATTAGGATGTCAAAAGGTAGGTATAATTTTTTTTCTCATTTTACAGATAATTAAAATTGAGGCTCAGAGAGTAGTGACTTGCCCAGGGGCCACATGGTAAGTGGCCAACCTGGAACTGAACACTTACTGTACTTCAGGATAGGTGTTTTAATATAGTGTCCCATTTAATCCTTTAATAATCCTATAAGGTATTCATGGGCTGGAGATATAATTCAATTGATAAGAATGCTTGCCTCACATGCACAAGGCCTTGGGTTCAAATCCCCAGCACCAGGGGGAAAAAAAAAGATAATACTATAAGGTAGTCATTATTTTTATTCCTAATAAACAAATGAAGAATGGGTTCAAAAAGATTAACTTGCCAAAACCACACACCCAGGAAGTAGACAAACAACTTTCAGAAATATGTCTGCTTTTCACATCTCAAAAACAGCAGTTATCAGGGCTTAGAGTTCCTTGGAGATCCTGGGTTTCCCTCCCTTTTACCCTCCCCTATTCCCACTCCCCCAACCCCCAGAGGTGGGGGGGGGCAGGAACCAGATACAGATTCCACCCTCTTGTCTGGGGCCAACACCAGAGGATGGTTTTCTAGCAGGACACACACACACACACCTTTGCTCCTCACCCCTCCAACAGCAATGGGTTACTGGGCCATGGGTGTAATTTCTGAACTGGTGGGGTACAAGGACTCCACTGTGTTGCCAGAAGCAAACACCCTCTTGTCTGGGGCCAACACCAGAGGATGGTTTTCTAGCAGGACACACACACACACACCTTTGCTCCTCACCCCTCCAACAGCCTCCGCAAGGCTCAGGAGAAAAACAGCTAGATCCCTGCTAGCTACGGGGTTTGGGGGGCTCCAAGGGGGCCGCAGGTCCCACTCCAATGTTCATTGGCACTCAGGCCCGAGAACCTGGGTAATGGAAAGGATGTGAGAACTCAGACCCCTCCCCAGTCCTGGCCAGGTATTCAAGAGCACAAAAGATGCACATCAAAAGGGAAATGCTTTGGGCTGCTCTAAATAGAAGCAAAATGGAGCAAAAGAAAGGTTCAGAATAGAAGACACTATTTCTTTAAGGTCTGGCTCACAACACAGTGTGCATTTCTGCCTGATATGGATGACTTAAGTCTAACACACTCAGAACTCTAGGAGGAAAACACTGCCATTTCCTCCTTAGTCTCGGGGTGGGGGTGAGGGAAAGAAGCAGAGATGGCTTCCACTGAGTCCAGGGCCCCACCCAGGTTAAGGCATCTTAGCTTGACTTCTCTACCATCCAGCTCTCCCAGCAGGGTGTCACCTGTGAGGCTGTGCTGCAGGGATAAGAGAGAAGAAGGGTGCATGATTCCTCCGAGGCCTCTCAGAGGGCTGCTTCAGCAGATTGACCAGGCCAGGGGAGGACTGGTCAGCAGACACCACGCAGGCCCACTCTCCCTCTTGACCTTGAGAAAATCAGAAGTACCACATCCAGCATGCCCATCCCTAAACTCCACCGCAAAGGATGCCTATAAACTTTCCTACCTCCTGAACTTGGTGTGAAGCCAAAACAGAGATTTTAAAACACAAGAAGGGTTTGAGTGAATAGGCACCCCACAGAGAGAAGAGAATGTTTGAATGTTTGAATGTGGAGAGGGGGCAGGGTTGTCCCCATCTTAGACTTGGGTGTAACCAGGGCACTCCTAGCTTCCCTTAATGACCAGTGTCAGCCAAGAATGTCTCCAGGCTACTCACACATCCATCTACACCTTCACCACGTACCACAGCTTGGATTATTTCCATGCGGCTGTTTCCCTGAAGTAAAGGACTTCCTTTGCTTCATCCTAAATGTGATACTTTAGAATGTCAAGGTGCACATGTGTGTTTGGGAGTGGGAGCCTCTCTCTGATCCTGAGCTGCCTTGTCTGGATTTTCAAGTTTTATTAAAGTAAAAAAGTATTCAGCATACTAAATATTCACACCAGCAGGACTCTCATGGCAACAACCTTACAGACCAAGGCAAATGCCAGGCAGGAAATATTCTGCCCCCTTTCCCCACATCCAGGGATCAGTAACATCCCCCTTCTCGGGTCAGGGGGAAGAAAGAGGACAACATGGTGCCCACTCTAAGTTTAGCTCTGAGGCTTAGCTGGCATGGCAGGCGGAAATTCAGCTGAGACACTCTAAACCTAGGGGAGTCAGAGAGGCTCAGAGAGAGAGCTGGGAGGCAGAAAGTGGGCCGAGGACAGCAGGACAAGACCCCTCCTGGGGGGGAGGCCCTGGGGGCTGTGGAGGCAAGGCTGGGCCAGGCAAAGCCCTTGGGCCCAGAGACATAGGAAAGATTACAGCTCCCTTGCCCTAGGCAACCTGCCTGCTTCCTGCCCACCCCCAAGAGCTTTGCCCGGATAGAAGCATGCCCCTGAGACGGAGTGGATGCTCCGCGGAAACCAGCTTTGCAAACAAGTCCAGAGAGTATGCCTGTCCCACCTCTTACAGACCAGTGTGTTGGCCCAGACCATCCATGGCTTATGCAGATATCTCCTACCTCCCCTCAATGACCAGCCACAGAGCACGGTGGTTCTCTGAGCCCAGAATCTACTCGGTTGCTGATCCCACCAAGCAGTGGCCAATCAGGAAGGCTTCTCTCATCCCCACAGGTCTGTGCCTCCAGAAGATTTAGAAAGAGAATCAACCATCCTTTCCAGATTCAAACCCATCTTCTCCCTCCACTGCTCCCCTTGCCTCTCCTCTTCTCCAGGAACCCTGGCTTCCCGTTGCCATTTTCTTCCTCTGAGTGGGAATGAACACCCTCTTCTTAATTGCGTTCTCATTAAACAAGCCCTTAATAAATACATACCAAGGGAAAGAGGGTTGTGCAACACAGCACCCTCACAAGTGATAATTAAACACAGATCACAGCAATTAAGCAAATCAGGGAACAAGGAAGGGGTGGGCAGGACAGATATATTACCAGTTACATGCTTAGGAAACGTCTAGAACCCACATAAACCTCAACCACAATGATATGGCCTTGGAAACTGCTTCTACTTTAACAAAGGGCATCTTGCTGGGTTGTCCAAACTCACTGTAGTCTCAGCCTATGGCACTGAGTTTGGTATGGGAACAGGGGAAGGGGACTCCCAGGAATTGACCGCTCTGGACACAATCTCCCCTGCTGTGAAAACAGCAGCTCTGGGTCCCCCAAACCTTCATCCTTCTATGCCATGCTCCAGAGCCTCGCTTTTCCTCAGCCCAAAGCCCAATGCCTACTGACCTTCCCCCTCTCTAATAAAGGGAGGCAGCTTGGTGTGCCAAAGCCCAAGAGGCTGGATTCTGTCCCATTGGACCATTGACTGGTCATGCAGCCTTGAGCAAATCACCAACCCTTTCTGAACCACGGCTTCCTCATCCCCAGGAGAGTTCCATGCTATGGTTTCCAAAGGTCCTGCCTGCTCTGATGCACCCAGGCAATTGCTACAGCTCGGCTATCCAGCCCTCTCAGCATCTCCCCCACAGGACCCACAGCATGGATGTCCACAATCTCAAGCTCAGAGCAATGTTTCTGTGAGGGTTCAATCAGTAACTGCTTGGGAAAGCCCAAAGGGAAACCCTGTTTGAAGTCCCTCTGCAAAGCAGAGAGGCAGGGGGCACAGTTGGTGGGGCCTGCTGGCCTCTAGAGTCCTTGGAGGAAGTGGGGCTTCCATCTGGAGAAGTATACAAGATTCTGCCTCATTTCCCCCATTCCCAGCCACGCACGCGCAAGAGCACGTGTGTGTGTGTGTGTGTGTGTGTGTGCGCGCGCGCACACACACACACAGTTCCCAGGTCTCCTGATTGCCCACAGAAGCCTAGTTTTATGAACATTCTAATAGTCCTGGGCCTGGCATCCCACCACCAACCAAGCACAGGAGGCACAGAAGCTCACAACATAATGTGGGGGTAATTTGGCGATGGAAGAGTTCCAATGTCTCAGTGACCAATGTCTCATTACCCCTGCCATAGCCACAGTGGGAACCTGGGCTGATCTGAGAGGGGATGAGGAGGAATTTGTGTGAAGTGGCATTCTGCCCATCCCATGAAGAGAAGCCTCAGGTGCCAGAAGCTCACTTCATTAGGGTCCCTCTGAAACCCACATGACATCTGTACCAAAGGTCTTCTGTCCAACTGCAGGGATGTAAATAAGCCACAAGTGGCTTCCATCCAGCTTCAGGGATGTCAATTATCCAGTGGCTCCTGAGTAAAGATATCCTCTGGCTCCCTCCACCTTGAGGTACTGACATAACAGCTGGACGCACAGTTTACAGATGCAGAAACAGTAGCAGCTTCCCTTGGAGGATTCTGTCCCCAGTTTTCAGCACAAATACCTCTATCATGTGCCTGACCCAATGGGGAGGGGAGAGCTGCCCAAAGCCAAATCTGAGAAATATAAACAGGAAGGGGTACAGGTGCCAGAGATGGAGTCAGCTTACATTGAAGTCCAACTATGATTTATGAGGAGACTACACTCTAGGCTAATAAATATCATCCCCCAATCTCTTGGAGTTTGACCCTCAAAACTGTCATGTGCATATTAATAGTTATTTATAATACTCCATTCCCTCTGTGTCCTCTGTCATGTCCCCTTAATCTTCGTAGTCACCCAAAAATAAAGATCTAGGAGCAGGATAAACAGGTCCTCGATACAGAATCTCTTAATAGGAAAAGAGAAAAGGCCTTCCCTAAAAGGTGGCTTTTGAATGGTTCTCCAAACCCTTCCAAGCTCTTCCAGCACCTGGTGTGGAGCTGTGGGGAAAGCAGTAGCTCAGGAACAGGGGGGGTGGGGGGAGCCTGAGAGGGAAAAAAAAAAGGAATGGGAGGTAGGAGATCCCCCTGGCCCGCGTAGCATGCCTGATGCCTGGGAAACACGCAAACCGCTCTGAGCAGGAGTGGAAAGCACCATCCCAACAATCACACCCACAACCCCCCTGGCATCCCCTACACCCAAGGCACAGACCCCCTCCCGTAGCATGCCTGAGCCTCTGAACTCCGGAGAGCCCCGCTGCAGTCTCAATACTCAGCTCCAAAAGCCTGGAGCTGAAAGCGCCAGAGACAGGGAAGGAAAAAAAAAAAAAAAAACTCATCGCGAGGCTGACGGGCTGATGGGCTATTGCGGGGGGTGGGGGGAGACAGGGACGTACGGTCCCCAGAGAGCACAGCCTCAAATCCAGGCGACCGGCGGGAAAAGGGTGGCCACCGTGCTCATTCTGTGCAGCGCTCCAACACCCACCCTATCCGAGGCACCCCTCTTCTCCAGTGTCCCCTCCTCTGGGTGGGGTGGGGGAAGGAAGAAACGAGAGAAGAGACCAAGCTGGGGCTGCCTTACCCAAAAGCCCAGTGCCCAGCCATCTCGCCAGGGCTTTGCCTCGGTCTCCAGCCCGGGACATGGTCCTGTTCTCTTCGGAGCGCGCCGAGGGCGCAGGGATGGGATACTGGGCACCACCGCGCTCTCTGCCCGAGGTCGGCAGTCGGCCCCGCAGCTGCCTGGGAGCTCTGCGCCGCGGGTCGGGGCTCGGGAAAAGTTAGCTGGCAGAGAGCGGAGGAGGGGGAAGGAAAAGAAGGGGGAGGCGCGCTCGCCCGCCTCCTGGAGCCGGCTGCGGGAGCCTGGGCTGAAGCGAAGGAGGAGGAGGAGCCGGAGCTGGAGGGGGAGGACGACTGAGCGAGAGCCGCGGCGAGGGAGGCTGCGCCTCTGCTCTGGAAGCGCTCCAGCCGCAGGAGGGGCGGTGGCCGCGGCGGAGCCCAGGGCACCCCTGCCTGCCGCGTACCTTGCCCCGCGCTCCCCGTTTCGTGGTCCTGGAGCCCCAGGACCAGGCTGAGCACCCAGTTTCCTCTCCAGTCGGGCTAGGCTGTGCAGCTTGGCACTGCAGGGCCGGTCCGCAGCCTCCCGCATCATCCCATGAGTCGATCTGCCAATTAGGAGCATAGTTTAGGGGGAGTAGTGGTGGAGCTTTTCGTTTGTTGGAAGGCTGTTTTGTTCTGCTTGGGGAGTCCAGGTACGGTAGAGATCCTCTCTCCCGGGACTGCCAAGGGACCACTAGATTGTCCGCAGTGGGCGCTGCCGCAGCCGGTGGGCGTGTGCCGGCTTGCCCACTGCAGCCGCGCCTCCGTGGCTGCTGGGCAGACGCCGCACGCGTGCAACCCTAGGACCCGCGCCCGCTGTCTTCAACCACGCTGCTCATCCGCTCCGCGAATTGCTTTGGACCGCCAAAAAATCCATTTCTTCCCATGGACAAGGGCCCCTGCCCACTGCCCACCAACCTCCCTCATTTCTTCATAGAGTCCTTGGAAATCACCGTGGTCCTGGTGAGGGAGGTGCCAGATGCTACCCATCCATCCCCGTCTGATCAGTGGCCAGCACACCCCTTTACCCACCCACAGCATCCCTACCCCATTAGTCACCCTCCTCCAAAAGCTTCCTAGTTTCCTTCTGAACCCAACCCACAAAGAGTCCCTTTTGCCTTCTTCTTGAGGTGGGAGTGGACGACCCCAGGGTCACTACTAGGTCAGAGGGCTAAGGTGACACTTGGAACCAGCAGGGATTTCGCCTTCCCCTGCCACCATACAGTTCCGAGTTAAAATTAAGCAGTGCTCTCTGTGGTGGGTGTCTTCCTCAGCACCCCTGCCCAACCATCCAAACCTCCAGTATGTATCCTCTTTGCTATCTGGAGACAGGTGCAGACTTAAAAACCTGGACCCTCCACACCTTTCAGGTTCTGGCCCTTGCTGCAAGCACACCACAGCATCCTCAACCGACCACCCACCTTTTCAACCTGGGGGGTCCTTGGTAATTTTCAGAGACATCAGGAACCCATGGGTTGTATGAAAAATGATAAATTTCTGTGTGAATTTTGCGGTTTTGCTTCCTTCTTCAGCATTACTGTTGCGGTAGTACAGTGACTCCGACAGCCTCACAGTTACGAAGTACACTCACCCAATCTTCTGGAGAAGACTTTGCTCCACACCTGCAAGGTGGTGAACACAAGATACTTATCTGGTAGGATTGTCAAGAGAAATCTGACCCTCAGCCCTGGACTCCAGATTTTGGAGGACCTCAAGCTGACTCTCCTCTGGCTATGCCCCTCCTCATTGAACAATAAATCCTTGAGAACACAGGGTGGTGGACATGTAGCTCCTCCCCTTCTAGATTGTTTCAAGGATCCAGGACTCTGGAATTTGCTCTTTAAATACCCTGAGCAGATCTCTTTCCCAGGTCCATCTGTCCTCTGAAAGCTGACTCTACCAGGCATACATGCACCCAGACACCCAGGAAGTGGTCAAGGGGCAACTGTTTGCAAGTCATGGGGAATGGAAGGACTCTGCTTACAAGTGGAGCCTTCCCAAGCATGCACAACATCCTGTTGTTTCAGGACCTGGGGAAGAGTGGTGTGTGGAATAGGAAACCAAACAATGGGCAAGGGAGCTCCAACCCTGGATTTACTAAGTAAATTTACTAGGAACTTTCTAGGTAACCTTGGGCCACATCTCTGGGCGCCATCTCTTCATCTGTGAGGTTTGAGGGTTTCCTAAGGACTCTTCCAGCCCTAAGAACAAGTGAGCAAAATTGTCTGAAAATCTCATTTTAGTACTGATCTTCCAGGCTATCATGAACGAAAAGACAGAGAAGAAAAGATAAATTTTAACACTTTATTATCCTAATTTACATTTCCATTTGCAACTCTTGCCCCAAGCCTCCAAAACCTCAGAAGTGGACCTGGCTGTGAAGACTTAATGTGATGTCACTGCTCGGAGAAGAGCTTAGCAGAATGTTAGGCACAGTGTGAACCCACAGCACGTTTGAATTCAAAGAGGTCTGTGGCCCCAAAAGGGGAAGCCATGTCCAGGTCAGCAGGCCTGCCCTCTGCTTCCCCCAGAGGTCCCCACACTACATTAACTGGCGGGCATCCACGCTGCTGGCTTTATTTTTACAACAGCGTCGTGTTTCTCAGAGTAGTAGGCTGAGGTAAGAGAAGAGGTGAGCCAAGGGGAAGGAAAGTGACCCTGCCCGGAGAAGGGGGGTAGAGAAACAGAGCTCCAGAGATATCTTTAGATCCTGGTGGCTGAAAACAGTTGCCAGTTTCCTGCAGTGCCCTCTTCCCCACCTTCCCTCCTGTCTCCCTTCTCTGGTTCTTAGGGCTGGAAGGGTACTTAGGAAACCCCCAAACCTCACAGATGAAGAGATGGGCCCAGAGAGGTGGAATATGTGGCCTAAGGGCACCTAGGAAATTCCTGGTAAACCCAGGATTGGCGCCTCCACCATTATTCATTCGGTTTCCCCACTCCACACCCCCAACTTTCTTCTAAAGAACAGGAGAAAAGCTCTGCAGCTGGGCAAAGAAAAGTGATTGGGAGATGCATTAGCGGCTAGAGGATTCTTAATTTATAGAGCACTTTCCTCAAAAATTCTCAGAAACCTAGTCCATTAGCCAGGCACGGTGGCACATGCCTATAATCCCAACGGGTCAGGAGGCTGAGATAGGAGGATTGTGAGTTCAAAGACAGCTCAGCAATTTAGCGATTCCCTAAGCAACTTAGTGAGCCGCTATCTCAAATAAATAAACAAATAAATAAATAAGGGCTGGGATGTGGCTCCATGGCTAAGCTCCCTAGATTCAATCCCCAGTACCAAAAAAGCAGAAATCTAGTTTGTTCATTGATCTAGCTAAGAGGCTACTCCTAAGGATGCCAAGGGAGAGGGTGACAAAGGTCAGAAGTCCCTCTTTCCTCCTTTGGAAAATCCTTGATGAGTACTCCTGAATTGAGCCTCTCTTCACCCAGCTCAAGAGCCCCTAGTCATTGGATAGGGCAGAGGGTGAAGCACCTTGGCTCCTGCTGAAAAGTCTTCGGGACTTTGCAGGAGTGATGTGTGGGGACAGGTCCTGTGGCTGTAGCCCCTATTCCTGGGGCCTGACTCCTGGGGGTGGGGTAATGCACTCAAGTCTGGGTGGCCTGGCTCAGAAATACCTTAAAGAGCAAGTTTTCAGGGATGCAGAGGTGGATTGGGCTCTTGCCAACAATCTGCCAGAGAACTGTCTCACTCAGGCTGTGGAGACAGAGCCTAGATTTAAGAGGGAAGAGGTGGTTTCCTTGGGGATTCAGGTAGGGCACAGTTAGCACAACAGTCTTCTCTGAGACCAGGCAACAGAAGCAGCTGGTTGCTTCCTCCCCTGACCTCTTGGGGGCTAGATGAGGGCAGGGCTGAGGGAGGGAGGGGAAGGAGATGGCATTGCTGTTTTCCAGGTGGGAGGCAGCTTAGAGGGGAGTCAGTGTAGGGTCAGAGGTCAGGTGGGTTTTCATGGGGGCAGAGCTCCAGCTGCCAGCCTCAGAGTTGCTGTTACACCAGAAGGCACTCACTCAGGAAGCAGGATCACCTTCTACAGGTGACCAGGGCAGGAAGATGGAAGGCCCCTTCCCTTGTCAGCTCTCAGCAAGCCACCAAGACCCCATGCAGGGGGGAAGGGAAGCAGAGATCTGGATGAGGTCTCCAGAGCTATTTTGAGAGGAGTTCCTCCTAAGTAGCAGGAACCTGGCACAGAACCTCCTCCCCCTCTGACTCCCCCTTTGCCCTTGCTTGCTGCCTCCCTCTCCCGCCTCCTCCCCCAGAAACCCTCGCGCTCCTGTCAGGGCATTGCAGGTAACCAGGCAGCTGGGTGGTGCTGACTAGGCTCCTGGAGCCAGAGGAAATGGCTCTGCAGAGTACTCTTCCACACCCCCACCTCCGATCTTCAGCCTCCGATCAACACCAAGAGTCACCCCTTCACCTCACCTACCCTCCTCTTGTAAACAGAGCCCCAGTCTCAGAACAGTGAAACCGCAGGCTCCAGATTCTCTGCATTGAATTAACTGCCTGCAAATCCTCTGCTACTCAGGTCGGGGTTGGACAGACACTACCTGGACCAATGTTGGGGATCCTCCTTCTAGCACACCTAGGTCTGTTCTCTGTCCCTCTCTACTTCCCATCCCCTGCTCCAGCTCAGAGTGCCCACTGACCCCCAGCCACAGTCTCCGTTTTAGTGAGGTTGGGCAGGTGCTGAGGGGGTTAACAGGACAGCATGCACCAAACCAAGCGGCAGGCACGTGGCTTAGCAGTCTAGTAAGAAACACTGCATGGCCACTTCAGCCTAGCCCTGGCTCCCCAGAGCCCCCCTGGCATCAGGAAGTTGGTGTAAACATAGACTGTTTCTGAACCCTCCTCCCAGGGAGGCTCCTTCCTTTCCTCTCACTTAGATTAACTTTCTAGGGGCTCTGGGCACAGACAGGTAGGCAGCCACCTCCTCCGTTCTCCCTTCCTCTTCTGTTTTCTGCCAAGTTCTGTCCAAACATCCTTTCAAAGGGGGATGGGGAGCCCCAGACAGATGAGCTCATTGGAAGGAAGAGAGCAGAGGGAGGAGGGAGCTGAAATATCCCAACCACAGAGATGCTCACCGGACAGTCCCAAGCTGGAGAGGGGTGTGTGCCCACTTCCAGGAGCAGGCATCTGCTTCCCTGGCTGCAGCTCAGACACAGGGTGAGTCCTGGGCATCTCTTTATTCTGGGCCACAT